CTTCAGCAAAATAAAGCTATCCAGGAACCACTGCCCCACATAAGCCCAAACCTATGTTGATTTTTTTTTTCTCTTTAGTTTCTTTTATTTTTATGACTGATCCTCCCTCTTATATAAATGCCTTACTAGTTGTATGACCTTAGGAAAGTAATTCAGTCTCTGTGTTTTATGTTTCTTGTCTTGTGAAGTCGCTGTTAAGGATTAAGTGAATTAACACACAATGCCTACAACTTTGGACATCTCATTATTATTGTTCAAAGGTAGCATATTCTAGAGTGCCATGGCTGAGGTTAGGTTTGGGATGCGATTAAGACTTCAAAGGAACAAGTGATATGAGACAGCACAGGAATACAGTAGTCCCCCCTTATCTGAGAGACACACATTTCAGGATCCCAAATGGATACTGAAAACTGCAGAAAGTACAAACCATATATATAATTTTGTCCTAAATACACACACCTATGATCAAGTTTAACTTACAAATTAGGCACGGTAAGATTAATAGGACATGTAACAATATGACGTAATAAAAGGTGTATGAGTGTAGTTTGTCAAAATATATTGTAGATCTCAGCAACCTCAGCATAAGATTTATTTATTAAATCAAGAAGTTTCACTTTTGGATTTAAGCACTTTATGGCTTCTCTGGCATATCCAAATTGCCAATACCACTACACTTGCACTTTGAGGTCATTATTAAGGTAAGGGTTACCCAAACACAAGCACTGCAATACCTTAACAGCTGATCACTGAGACATGGACAGGTAGGTAGTATATACAACATGGATAGACAGCAGGATGATTCATGTGCTGGGTATTGTAGGGAAAGGAGGGTGGCAGGCAGGAAAAAGAAACTAGGATCTCATTAAGCTTTATTAAGGAAATCTTACTAAATGCAGCTTTTGCCTTTGCAGTTAGACTTCAGCAATTAGAAAGACAAAGGCAAAGAAAGAGAGAGAAACCAGACCTGAGAAGACACCAAGGTAGCACAATTAACATAAGAATTTAGCAGAAAGAGTCCGGGACAAGGGCGGGGGATTTAGCTCAGTGGTTCTACTGCCTGCCTTGCAAGCGCAATATCCCGAGTTTGATCCCTGGTACCAAAAAAAAAAAAGAGTCCTGGACAAAACAGGGATGTATGAAAGACCAGGGTAACCAGCCCCTACCCTCACCTGATAAAGCACAAAGGAGACAAGGGGTAGCCACCTAAAGACTCTTATTTAATATATAAAAGACACATACCTATACATAGATACTTATATGCATATTCTCACCGGATATACACGTCCCCTTTAATTTCTATCTATAAGCTGCCCTTGTATAAGGACCCCCCTCCCCACACTTATCCATCACAAAAGGGCAGGAAGAAATCAAAGGGCCAAAAGAATGTAGACAGAGGTACCCAGGTTAGGGTCACAGCCAGAGAGCCAATCAGATTGCTCCAAGTTCCAAGTGTACAATGTGGGGCAGGGACACCAGTCTTGATAAAAGGGACCCGAGGACACCCATGAGTATTTGCTTCTGATGCCCCTTACTCTTCCAGAGTAGCTATCTTTTCTTTTTCTGCCCAAATAAACCATCTTCCTTTATGTTAAACTCTGCTTCTTTTAATTCATTACTGGTGCCGAGTTTTATGATCCCAGTAGTTTCGTAACCCAGCAGAGCAGCAGTATGGCATGGTGTACAGCTCTCCCCAAGACGTGACAGGCATGACTAAGTGGGACAGCAGATTTCATCACACTACTCAGAACCCCATGATTTAAAATTTACAAATTCTTTCTTTTGGAATTTTATGTTTACTATTTTTGGACCACGGCTGACCATGAATAACTGAAATCAAGAACAGTGAAACATATATGAAGGTGGAATACTGTATAAGAAAAGACCCAAAAGCCTTCTGGCCTCCTACCTTCTGTCCAGAATATGGTGCTCTGCTCTTTTTGTTTTTTGTTTTATTGGTTCTGGGAATCGAACTCAGGTCCTTCAGCTTACAAGGCAGGCGGCGGTGTTCTGCTCTTCTAGTTTCATTTCACTGGCCATTGCTCTCATTCGAAATGAGAGCCTGTCCAGAAAAGGGCTGGAAATAGTCAAAGCTGCTATGAAGAACAAAGTGGGTGAAGCCTTTCCTAACAGTATGGGTACTAACGTAGCAGGGAGTCTTCAAGTCAAAGGAGTTAGAAGCGGAAAATCCTAGAGGGGGCCTAAGAACCCCCATGGTCATCTCTCATGTTCCTTGTGATTGTGTGAAGTACAAATGACGAGTAGTAATGTAAGTTTTGTTTGTTTGTTTTTTTTGGTACCGGGGATTGAACTCGGGTCCTTGCGCTTGCGCAGCAGGCAGCCAAAACCACTGAGCTAAATCCCCGGCCCAAGTAGTAATGTAAGTTACTAGGTCAAGAGCCTCTTCTTCCCATCTGAAATACAGTAGACCTTTGGGTCAAGAATGTGCAAAGTGACCTCAAGTTTGCTTCTGTTTTTCCATCTTTCACGACTTTTTAATTTATTTAATTAATTAATTAATTAATTTATTTATTTTGGTACCAGGGATTGAACTCTGGTCCTTGCGCTTGCGCAGCAGGCGGTGAAACCACTGAGCTAAATCCCTGGCCCATGACTTTTTAAAAACACTGCTAAAAAAAAAAAAAAAAAAAAAGATTGTTTTATTGTTGACCATGAGGCCAAATGGGCTTAAATGATCTGTGAACACCGAGAGAAAGATTAAGGAATATTACCTTGGTGAAGGTATGTATTCATACTTTGTCCCAGACTCTTATTCCATAATATATCTTTAAAATAGTGGTTGAGTTTAGGCTCATATATTCAGGTTCATCTTCTCACATTGGACCAAATCAAAGGATATAGAGTCGGCCAAAAACATGTATATATCAGGAAAAGAAAAACTTGTATATTTTAACACTAAACTTATTGAGACATTATGAGATATTAATCAAGTTATTAAAGAAGTTATTTATATTAAACAAGTTATCTTTAGCCTCTACAATTACAAGAGGTGCTCAAAGTGGCAGCCATTAGCTTCCAGACATTTACTAGTACGGCAAACTGCTGAAGTGTTGTGTTAGTTATTTTTCTTTCATTGTTGAGACAAAATTTCTAGCACCTAAAGTTAAAGGGGAAAAGGTTTGTTTGGCTTACAGTTCATAGAGGTTTCAGTCCATAATCTGCTGGCTCCAAGGCAGGGTGGCACATGGCAGAGGGGGATCGCAGAGGGGCAACAGTTCATGGCACCCACAAGGTAGCAAAAGCAACAAGGGACTTAACAGCGTCTTTCTGGCCCTTTTAATTCAGACTACTTAGGGCAGGTAGCACTCATGCCCTTAATCCCTAGTGCCCTTGGGCCTAGCCTCACCACTAGCAATCACATACTCTAGATTCAGCCACCTCTGAAAAAGCATGCTTTGGGAGGACATCTAAACACAAGCCGTATCAAGTATATACACTTTTTTGGGGGGCAGATTCTACCTTTGGAAGGAAATAAGGATTTACTCAAAGCTAACTCTGAGGAGATAGAGGGGCCTATTTGCCTCAGATCACCATCCTACTGTTCACAGGTGGGAAGGGTCTTTTAAACAGAGGGGAAGGGGACCAAAAAGACAATGCAGATCTTTACACTTGGTTTCTCATTTCCAGCCATCTTCAGCTTATCTTTCTCTTGTGGAAAAGAAACCAGGCTCCTGGCCTTCTGGCATCTGCATAATCTGTCGTTTCTTTTGGGCAGAAGAGAGGAGGGGGTATTAGTTATGTGCTTGTAGGAGGAAGTTGGAGAAGCTGCTTATCTCTAAAAAGAAAAAAAGCTAACTTAAAGTTCCATTTTTGCTGTGCTGGTTACAGTTGCAAATTGGAGGCACAAGAGTGAATTCAGCCTATATAAATGTTTCAGTTGGCCTGTATAATTAAAAACTTTTTGAGTATTGAAAAATGTTTATATTTAAAATATCTGGATTTCCACTTTCTCAAAAGTTTTAAGATGTGGCACTGGGCAGAAGACAACTGGCTCTGACAGCTGTTTCTCTTTTTTTTGTTTTGTTTTTTGTTGGTACTGGGGATTGAACCGAGGGGCTTGCAAGTGCTAGGCAAGTGCTCTACCCAGGCTGGCCTCCAACTTGCGATCTTCCTGAGCAGCTGAGATTGCAGACCCGCCAGATGATTTCCTTAAAACCTTGTGTTCCCCTGGAGAACTCTCGGCACTCACAGAATGCCTGTTTACGTCTCCGTAACTATGAGCATTTATGTTAGCTGATATGAAGGCAATTTTCAATCTGAGACCTGCAGGATATGACTGCATGAATCCGGATTTGGGAGTCAGTTTCCTCATCTGTGAAATGGGCTGAGAATGCACAGTTCAGCAATGGATTGGGGACCCAGTGTGCGAAGCCTGGCCCAAACACCAGGATGGAAGGCAAGATTAGCACCCACCCAGCGACCGGGAAGCTGAGGAACCCCCGCGCCCGCCCGCCCTCGCTCCGCACCCCTCCCTTCCCAGCCCCGGCGCTCCGCCAGGTCAGCCCTGGGCACCAAGAGGCGGGGCCGGGCAAAACGGACTCGAGGCGGCCATGGCCTCGGTGGTGGAGTACAAGGGCTTCAAGGCCGGCTACCACTGCGGCTACTGCGACTCCAGGGAGGGCAAGGCGTCCTGCGGTGAGTGTCCTGTGGACGGGGCTGCTGCGTACGCCTACCACCCGACCCTCGCAGGCCTCCTCCGCCTTCCGGCCTGCCCTTGCCACGGGTGAGAGCGGTTCGGGCCGCACTCTGACTTCCCCTTTCCCACTCGTCTTTTCCAGCCAGTTGCCCCTCCTGCTCCTTCCTTCCTTCCTTCCACTCCCCCCCCCCCGCGACGGAGACTGCCCCTCACGGAAAAGGAACGGAAATAGCGGAAAACTGCCCTTGGTCAAGATGGCGCGGGAGGCGTCAGCTCCGAGAGGCGCAGGGCCAGGCCCGGCCTGGGGACGTCCGAGTGGCTTCGCCCGAGCTTGGTCCTGGCGCCGCATTGCATTGTGGAGTGGCGGCGGGGGTGGCGGAGGGAGCGTTGGTCCCCAGCTGCGGACCTAGGCGGGGCTGAAGCAATGGCTTCCTGGAACTGTCTTTCGTCCAGCATCGTAGAGTATTGCGAGGGCGCGGACTTCTACTGCTGTGGCTATTGCAAGAACCTCGAGGGTAGTCGCTCCAATGGTGAGCGAGCGGGCGGGCAGGCGGGCGTGGGAGGCCGGGCGCGGTGGCCTGGAGTTTGTGTGACCCTCACTGGGCGCCGCAACCCCTGAGCGGCGGAGGCGGAGGCGGAGGGCCACCCTCGGAGGGCCGTGGCTGCGGGATTTAGACTGACCGTCGGCTGAGTCAGCAGGGGCGCTTGTCTTGCTGGTTGTTCAGGAAAACCCCCTCGGTGCTCGGACCTGCGCCATAGGCGTTGTCTGTCCCGTCCGGAAACAGATGCCCTCGGTGGGAGATGGGTTCCTTGGAGGAGAGAGCGCTGTGCGGCCTGAGGCGGACCTGCCTCCCCGGGAGTGCGTGCGGATTGCGGGGTGCAGGACCTGCCGGGGCTTGTGCGGACCTGTGCAGTCCTATGTGATAAAGTGTTCGTGGAGTAATATACGAGACGCTAATGGCCCTAATCGCTGCCGGTCAGATGGCCTGTTAGTCCTGATGCTTGACATTTTTACCAGGGACTCATGCTATGTCATTCCTCCAGCTATCTTGACCCGACAACAGACTCAGGCCACTGTTTTGTTTTTCTGTGACTCGGGTTTCTCTGGGAACATTTGTGTTTTGAAAAAAAAAAAAAAAGTATCGTGTTCATTTCCTGCCGAGTCATGCATTGACAAATATGGAACATAGAATGTGTTACTTTAATGGAATAAGCCAGCATTGTGGAAAACAAGATAACCATGGAAATATAAATTAAGGGTTTCTTTCCCTATTAAAGGACTGTATAAGTGAGGCATGGTTTAGTCGGTTACGGCATGTCCACTTCATTGAGCATGTCATGTTCATTGAGAATGTATGTTAGGTGTTCGGTCTGAAGTAGACAGTTACGCAGTCATTTGAGGTGACAATTATAAAGACCAGCTAAGTGGACAGATGCCTACCAAATTTACATAGATAGTTAAACAGAAAAACAAACAGGATGCAAAAGTCATGTATGACATGATTGCAGTTGTGAGTGGAATGAAGCCCAGGAGAAGCATGCCAAATAGTGACAGTAGTTGCCTTGGAGTGAAATAGGTTCCACCCTTCTCTTTTTCATAGTTTTTGCATTGTAACTATGAAATCTCTATAATCAACGATATACACATATATATATACACATACATTTTTTGGTACCGGGGATCGAACTCAGGTCCTTGCGCTCGTGCAGCAGGCGGCGGAACCACTGAGCTAAATCCCCAGCCCTACGAGATATATTAAACGTATCTAAAATTAACTAGACTCTTCGTAGTTTTGTCCAGTAATTTTAATTAGAAAATTGCCCAATATAAAATCAGTATTTCAAGTTTTCAGTGTGAAACCTGGACATTTTCATCTAGGGAAATAAGTATCCATTTCTATCATTTGATTTCAGTTCTGATAATGTTTATTATAGAACACCAATCTGTTCATTAGTTGACATTATTATTATTATTATTATTATTATTATTATTATTATTATTTTTGGTACTGGGGATAGAACTTGGGACCTTGCACTTGCGAGGCAGGCTGTGGAACCACTGAGCTAAATCCCCGGCCCGACTTATTATTTCTATTACAGAGGATGTAATTGAGTCTTACAATTTTTTGGTATTAATGAGTGCCTGCTAGGTGTCCATATTTCTGTTGGACTTGTACCATACTTTATCCCAATATATCTAGCTCTGTCAAGCCTATCTGTATCTCTACTTATCACTAATGCAGTTTACTGATTGCAAAAGGGAAAAATCCATTTCTCCATTTAACATTGGTTCACGTATACATTTAAATGTTGATTCTGGTAGTCTTCATTTTTTTCCCCTGTAGTTAAATAATTCTTCCATCATCTAGTTCCTGTAGTCGTCTTGTATCCTTGACATTTGGGTTACTTTGTTTTTCACTTAGAATATCACTACAGGGCCAGGGATGTAGCTCAGTGGCGCCACACCTGCCTGGCAAGTGCAAAGTCCTAAGTTCCATCCCCCGTACCAGACCCCCAAAAAAGAATATCACTATATACTTTTATCCTATTTTTAGTGTTCAAGTACATATATGTTTATAAATTAGAACTAATAGGGCTGGGGATTTAGCTCAGTGGCACTATGCCTGCCTTGCAAGGGCAGGTTCCTGAGTTTGATCCCCGGTACCACAAAACAAAGAAATAAATTAGAACTAATATACACCAAAAATCTGCTTTCTAATTCTGAAGAGAGCAGTGAATCAAATTATTGGGGTTATTATTAAAGTTTGAAGATGAGATGCAGTTTGATTGCAACGAGGATCTACACTTTTGATGTCAGACTATTGACTAATAATTAAATGTAATTACTTTTATGTATTTGATTTTTTGGTATGTATTTTATTTTTTAATTAAAATAATTATGTCTTATTTTTCATTGGTGTTGTATGCCAAATTAACAAGTGTGAAGTGTGTGCAGACTTTTTCTACAATGTGACTGTTCTAGAATTTTAGCTTACCATCCATATTATTAAAACACTTTGAATTTTAAAACAGAAGAAAGTTCAACCTGTTGTAATTAACACACCCCATCTTTTCAGGCATGTGGGCACATTCCATGACAGTACAGGATTATCAGGATCTTATAGATCGAGGATGGCGAAGGTAATAAACACTCTTTAATTCAAAGATATATTCTGCTGTTCAGGCTCTTATAATTGAGAAATAGAGGCCTGAGGATTTAGCTCAGCTGTTCTGCTACCTGCCTTGCAAGCACAAGGACCCGAGTTTGATCTCTGGTAGCAAAAAAAAAAAAAGAGTTTGTGTTTCAGATGTTTTCCTGCTGAGTGTGGTGGCACACACCTGTAACTCCAGCACTTGGGAGGCTGAGGAAGGAGGAGATCACAGTGACTTTGAAGCCAACCTGGGCTACATAATGAGTTCAAGGCCAGCCTGAACTACATAGTGAGACCCTGCCATGTCTCCCCCCAATTAAAAAAAAATAAAGAAGTTAAAATTTTCTCTAAATTTAATAATGAGGCTCAAAAGGTCAGATGTTGAAGAATTTAATATGTCATGATAAGGAAGTTTTTGTTTTTAAGGTAGAAGGGAGCCATTGAAGGATTTATGAAAGAGTGAAATGTGATAGGATTTGTTTTGGAAAAAAGTCATTCATTTGGCAGAGAGGTATTTGAGGGGTGATCATGGAGGCGGGAAGAGGAGTTCCAGGGATTATCAAGCTATACAGACAGGAAATGGTGAGGACTGATGGCTCAGTGGCAATGGTGATAGAAGGGGACAAATTTAACATGCATTTTAGATATAGAAAGCTTGCTGATAGGTTATAGAGGGAATACTCTAAAATGACTCTATGGTTTGAGAGGTGCGTGCACAGTTCTGCTAGTAATTGAGATCTGGAATGCTTAGAAAGAATCAGGTTAGCTTTACAGTACAATATGTTGTGCTGGCACATGTGCAGCACCCAAGTGTGGATATCATGGCTGCAGTATATGTACTTTAGTACACAGAATCATGGGGGCTTCTCTTTCACAGACCTTGTGGTATTGGTGACAGGTGAAAGCTTTGAAGGGCTTGCAGATTTGGTAAGAAGGCAGTTGAGATGATTAAGCTTGTAGTTTATATATATAAAAGTTTAGGAAAGAAAAGGCTGGGTTCTGGCCTTTGTAGACCTACTTGCGAGATTATTTAGGCCTGGAAGAGCAATTAAATCTGAATGTATTTTCACACTATTGATTAGATTTTTATCCTTAATTTAGTGATCCTGTACTAATCTGCTTTGGTACATGTGTAAAGTGTGTAAGAAATTAACAAACTATTTTTATGATTTTAGAAGCGGGAAATATGTGTACAAGCCTATCATGAATCAAACATGCTGTCCTCAATATACAATAAGGTAAGACTTTAAATAATACAAACAGGATCTATAATGTGAAGATTATGTTCATTTTAGGGTTAATTTCTGTTTTAGGTGGACATTCTTCATAAAATACAAACGAATTTTCTGTGTACTAATTCAATATTCATATGCTGATCAGATCAGTAGCTTTAAATAGTACTATTTAATTGGTCCTCTTAGAAATATGACATAAGAATATTGCTTTATTTGACAATGTAGTCAATGAATGCTGTGAAATATTGGTAAGTATTAATATTACTTTTCATTAGCAAATTTTTATAGGCCTTAGCAGAGGATTTTCCATATCCTAGTATATTACTTAACAAAGTGCTTATGATCAAATTATACTATAGAATCCTGTACTACGAGAAGGGCTGAAACCTAATCTGTCACATACATTCAGCATCCAGTTTTTTTAAATGAAAAATTTAGACCAAAGTCTCCTTTCCTATGAAATGTTTGCTTGATTTTCATAATCTTTTGGATTTCCTTTGTACCGTCTCACCCCACCCTAATATAGAATTTTTTCTCCTTTTCTAATTATAAAGATCATTGCTTCTCAGCCTTTTGGCTAAGATCAAGTGTAATTACAAAAATCATAATTTTTTATTTTGTAGAATATATGGAAAATATGTTAACATTTTGTGCGTATATTCTAGATAAAAAAAATCAGTCACAATTGTATCTGTCACTTTTATTGTCTGATAATTGCAGATGCCTGTTAGTTACTCTTAACTTCTTTTTGAGTTGCAGACCATTTTGAGAATTTGATGAAATTAAAAGCTGTTCTCTATTATAAAAAAAGGAGAGGGCATGTAGACATAGATATGTAAGAAACACATTAATTTTAGGATAATCAAGGGCTTCCCATGGTCACTGATCCCTCATGAGGAGCCCTTTCTCTTACCTTCCTGGGCATAAGATTGACTGATGTTAAAAAAGAAAGGGTGTGTGGTTTGCTAACACCATCTCACTGCTCTATTGTCCTTCTCCAGCTTTTGTGATTAAGAAGAGATAATATCCTCTGAGACAGAAGTTATTGTCTTTTAGATAGCAGTTCGTTGGATTATGGACAGGATTCTGCTCAAATAAGCCTGAAGTTGATTGGCTGGAACCTTAAGATTTTTATAATCAGAGAACATTGATTTTACCTAGTGTGGCAATTCATGCCTGAAATCCCAGCTACTCAGAAAGCTGATACTGGAGGATTGAAATTTTGAGGCTAGACTGGGCTACTTAGTGAGACCCTCTCTTAAAAAAAGAAAAAGCATGGGGGTCTGGGGGCTGTGGGTTAGTGGCAGAGCACTTGCCTAGCATTCACAGAACCTGGGTTTAAGCCCTAGCACTGAGGTGGGGTTCATTTCAGTTGGCTAAGTAAAGTACATTACCTCTTATATGTAAACCATTTTTCCAGGTATATTGCATTTTATGGGAAGAGATTCAACTAACATTGCAAAACAATAATTATAAAATGTAATTTTTGCATTTTAGTGGAATCAAATATTTCCTAAATTGTTATTGTATACAATTTCTCTATATGAATCAATCTTATGAAGTCGTTTTCCTTGTTTATTTTTCTGCTTGTTCACTATAGTAGTGATAATAAGAATTTTTAAAGAAAAGGAGGCAATATTTTACAACTTAGCTCCTTGTTGGGCAGAAGTTAGGGGCTTCTCAGCATGTAAGTATATTTTCCTGGCTGTGATGTTCCAACAAAAATTTTAAATTTTAGCAGAATTATGTATGCTCGTAAAGTGCCAAATAGTTCTATAAAGCTTATTTTTGAGCTTAGGCATCTCTCAAACCCTTCCTTCCTATTCTCATTGGCAGTTACCATCAAATCTTTTGACTTTGTTTTTTCAATACTGGGGATTGAACTCCAGGGACATTTTGTATTGTACTATTAAGCTACATCTGTAGACCCCTTTTGAAAAATTTTATCTTGAGACAGGGTCTTGCTAAATTGCCCAAGCTGTCCTAGAACTTGTGAACCTTCTGTCTCAGTGTCCACATAGCTGGGATTACTGGCATGTGTCACTATGCCCAGCAAATCTCTTAACTGATTCTTTTGATTTTTCACCTTTTTTTTTTTGTACTGGGGATCAAACTTGGGTACTTTTTTTTGTTGTTGTTATTAAATTCTTTTATTGGTATATTGTGGGTATACAGCACAATTACATTTCTCATTGGGAATTGTACCTTTACATAATGCATCTTGGTTCTTATTTTTTCCCCATTCCTAGCCCTCCCTTCACGCCCTCCACCCTTCCCTATTTACAAAGACTTTATTTCCATTTCTCATCATTTTTCCTTTCCCTTCTTTCCTTTCCCCTGCCCCTCCCACCACCCCTACCTCTTGAGCTTGCAAGGCAGGTGGCGGAGCCACTGAGCTAAATCCCCAGCCCTCACCTATCTTTTAATAATGTTTTTTTTTTTTGGTAGTGGGAATCGAACTCAAGACCTTGTGCTTGTGAGGCAGGTGAGGGCACCACTGAGCTAAATCCCGGGCCCTAAGTAACATGTTTTTATAACTATAGTACTCTGTTTCTTTCTTCGTTCTCTCTTTGTAAGCATCATAATAATGTTTATTTTCTTTACATAATTATAGAATTCAGGCAAAGACATGGAGTTTTCAATTTTTAATATTTGGTTAAACAAAATATCATTTATAAATCAACTCACTACAAATCCAACAACAACAAAAAAATGAATAAAAGCAAGAAAAAGCCTAGAGTTGTCCCTTACTAGGCATCTGTTCCCTTTCTTAAAGGCAGTGGGGTTTTTTGCCCTTGGGCATCAGCAGGGGTCCCTGTTCTTAAGCACTAGAATTGTTCTTAAGCACCAGAATTGGATCTGAACAGAGAAACCAGACCTGAAATGTTTAAGCACCTTTTCATATCCCATTGGCTCAGGGATTCCAAGTACACGGTAGTACTTTGAAGTGTCATTTGCGTAGGCCCAAGCAGCTTTGTGGAAAGAAATTAGTTTCCTTCTCTTTCTAGAAAATGCCTTGCCATCACTGATGGACCCTTCTAGTGACAGTTAGCAGTGTTGGCTGTAACTTCTTAGAAAAATGGCATACAACTATTTTAAGAGGTAGGGGGTGGGTCAGTTGATTTATAAAGGCAACTACATGTAGATGACAGACCCAGGTCCTATAACATAGCGCACATAACCATCCAACTTGGGGGTTTGGCTTTTCGTCACTACAGTGACTTAGACTCCAACTCAAGACTTGTGCCAATTCTAGTTGCTCTTGTGCTCTGAAAAGCTTATCTTCACATTACTTTTCTTACTCACTTCTCCCAGACTAGTGGAATTTGATGTCAGTGGTAGACATTTTTTTGATTTTTGCCAGAACAGGCAAACTAGGAAAACTGTCAATTTTCACTGTTTTTTGCCCCAGAGCCTCTTAAGTGATTGTGGTGAAATGATAGGGACTAAACTGGAGTAAAGTCGCCCAATGCCTTAGCTACATCCTTTTAGGTATATATCTCGTCCCTGTGTTGGCTAGAATATTGTGGGATTTAACCACCTGGTGTGGAATTTCATTGTAAAACTCTAAAGCTGGCCATAAACCACTCATACAATTGGGAGAAGCGGTGGCTTTAAGGGTTTCAGATGGAGCCAGGCATAGCGGCACATTCCTGTAATCTCAGCGCTCTTGGAGGGTGAGGCAGGAAGATTGCAAGTTTGAGCCAAGCCTTGACAATTTAGCAAGACCCTGTTCTCCCCACCCCCCAAAGGTTTCAGTTGGCCTATGGTGCCGCTTGCTGTTAGGGTCTGGGAGATGGTTTCCTAAGAGATGTTTCTTCTCTGGGTCCGTGGAGCTAGTTGTTGGGCTTTGCATATACTGTGTCTTCAGACCCACTGGTACCACCGGAGAGGAAAGTGGAGGTAGCATCTCTGGTGAGTCTAGAGCAACAGTGATGACTCCAGCAGAACCTGCATCAGATCCTCCTAGAAAGGGAGAAATAAGCTAGGACCCACCTTACAATGGCTTGCACTCAGATCTTCTGTCTTCCTTCTGCAGGCCCAGACAATACTGGGTGGTTCTTGTAACAGTCCACATGTCTGTCCTATTATATGGCAAATCTGAAGGGGAAGCCAGTGAGATATTCGGGGAAGTGGCCAGGGCAGACCTGCTATAGGGGCCACAGCGTAGTTCTGAGGCCTGGAGGGTGGGATGAAGGGCAGGTTGGACAGAACTGTGTTACACATCAGCCATCTAATTCTCATGTGCTTCCATCTTTTCTGCTACCAGTAGTATGAGTTCACAGTCCTTTCCTTACAAATGATGTTTTAGAAATTTCCTGAGCTTGCCCTCACCTCCAGTACACTTGGGTATCTGGAATTTGGAGTCAAGGTTGTAGAACCTGCCCACCCTACTCCTTGAATACAGACCCAGTGCTGCCATTTGAAAGGTAATTCGAGTGTTCTCCAGCACTGATGGGAGAGAGCAGATTCATGATGAAACCCGTGGCATTAGTGAGAGCAATGACACTGACATCCCTCTGCTTGTCCCACCCAGTGACTTCATAGCCTTTGGTCTGAAGTGCTGCCATAATGACATTCACAACATAGTTCCCATTTCTCAGCATTCTCTCTTGCAGCGTTCCTTGCATGAAGGTGTTGCTGTCCTAGAAGACGCGACTGTGGGCATTGAGGGCACAAAGTTCTCTGTACTGCTGCTCAGGGTGGATTTGTGGGCGTGCTACCTGCAGAAGCTCCAAGGATTCAGATTTGGTTGGCCTTGTCTCCCCCACACCCCCTTTAAAAAAATTTTTGTTTTTTTGAGACAGAGTCTCACTATTAGTTCAGGTTGCCCTTGAACTCACTATGTATCCCATGATGGCCTCAAACTCATGGCAGTCCTCCCACCTTAGCCTCTAAAGTGCTAGGATTACAGGCATGAGCCACCATACCTGGCCTCCTTGTCCCCTTTTTAAGACATGCAACTCAAGTTTTTCATTTTAGATTCCGGAGAGAGCTGAAAG